TAGCTTTAGACACCTCGTCTAGACCCAACACGATGGGTTCACTCAGCCTAGATACTACTAACTCACCTTCCATCACCTTGTCTAGCATCTTAGAAGTCATTTTTTCAAGAAACAAAAATGAAAAAAGATGTTCCAAATGTTTCACATGGAGTAACAAATGCTATTTTAAGTTAGTAACTGGAAACTTTGGAACCACACTGGAGTGCAAGAACTTCGTCGGAATCTTTGTGTTTACATAGTGAAATTGTGATTATGTTTTTGCCAATATCCCTTTTATAGGCAGCCTCCATCAACCATCTCCATTGGATGAAATATGGTCACATTTGGGATGTCCATTGATTTATTAATCCTCGTCGTTGAGATCAAACGTAAAAAATGCTTAATGGTTGGGATATCGCGTGTGTGACGCATCTCCTCGAACCTCAACAACTGCCAGCCATGATTAGCAGTGATAGCCCAAGAAAAGTTTTTCTTAGGAGCAAGCACAGTTCAACTGCTTTTCTTGGAAACACGCAACAATCTTCAAATCATTGGCACGAATTCCAATGCAGATCCTCGTCCTACAGTTAGGACACCACCTCTGCCACTCCATTTTTTATCAAAGCTACTACCCTCCACTCTTCCTACAGCTAGGACATTGCCTCTACTACTCCAGCTTTTATTAAAGTTGCTACCCTCCAAAGCTTCATCCTACAACTAGGACATCGCCTATGCTACTCTAGATTCTGTTAAACCTGCTACTATCCAGAGCCTCGTCCTACAGTTAGGACAACACCTATGCCACCATTTTTATCAAAGTTTCTACCCTCCACTCTTCCTACAGCTAGGACATTGCCTCTGCTACTCCAGCTTCTATTAAAGTTGCTACCCTCCAAAGCTTCATCCTACAACTAGGACATCGCCTATACTACTCTAGATTCTGTCAAAGCTGCTACTCTCTAGAGCCTCGTCCTACAGTAAGGACATTGCCTCTGCTACTCCAACTTCTATCAAAGCTGCTACCCTCTAGATCCTCATTCTACAATTAGCACATTGCCTCTGCTACTTCAGCATTTATCAAAGTAACTACCTTCTAGAGCCTTATCCTACAACCAGGACATCGCCTCTGTTACATTAAAAAGGACCATCTCTGCTACAACCATATGTAATTCCACGCATTATATGAATATCCATGCCTGGACTTAGGGGACTGACGAACACCTAAAATTTAAATTTGTTTGAAAATCTAGTTCGTCCAACACAAAGTCCACGCATTATATAAATATCCATACATGACTTGGAGGACTATTGTTATGCCTTTAATAACGAGTTGCTAGGTCATCAAAACAAGCCCAGGCTTCGAGGTGCCGAAGTGTCGAAGTGCCTAAAGCAATATAGTATAGGCGAATATCAGAAGTGGATAGCGTCGGTATGAACAAAGATCGAGCCGCATGCTAGAAGACACACCTGCTGATGGCAGTAAATACTAAGGCATAAGATACGAATTTTTTAGGCAAATATATGTCCAAGATAAAATCTTATAACTGATGGATGTGACGTCTCTGCAATACACACAAATGTGTCAATTCGAATCCACAAACATTAAATGTCCGCCCACCTATGGAGTGATAGATGGACATCTATGAAGAGACGCTTCGACTAGCAGGAGGAAGCCACGTGTTCTCCATCCAACATTTCTTCTTTTGCCTATTTCTCTATAAATACTTATGTTCTATGCATTTGTAAGAGAAAGTAACTTCACTATTAAGAATTCACCATTTCTTTTCCCCTCTTGAGATACTTTAGAAATTCTGGCGGTTCCCGCTATCGGAATTAATTGTTTACAATTATCGTCGACTAACTTAATCGTCTGAGTGATCGTGGTTGCTACCACCACCGTCGGAATGGCCACAAGTGACTGATCGTTTGTGCCATGTGTGCAGGGAGGAATATGAGTGAAGTTGCTTTATGTTCGCCACATGGAGCTCCATTTACCAGGATCAACACACTTTCAATAACGGAAATCAATATCGTTACAATAAAAAAATGATAGTCATTATTTATTAACTAAAGTTATACTTATTCTAGATTAATAATTAATAATTATGTGTGATGACTATCATTTATTTAACTAAAATCAAATTAAAGTTACTAATTGAAAATTACAAATTGAGATAGCTTTGCCCATGTTTGGTGTAGATAAAAATATAAGTCGAAATAAATAATATTTTATTCACATATTTCATAAGACCCACGACTTTTCAACCTACCTTTCAATAACTTTTGTGAAAATTTACTGAAAGTTTGATTTTAATTTACACCATTAAGCTCATTTTCTAATTTTTTTCTCAATTTTTTTCAATCACAGATTATCTTAATAAAATAATTTTTCATACTTTTTAATCATAAATTCTTCGAAAAATACTGGTAAATTGGGTAAACGTATAATTACGCCAATGCAATATATTTCCAACAATCAACGGCGCCTCACCCGCCCCCTCTCAACCCCAACAAACATTAAGATGAGCACTAACCCACCATCAATCGTAATACCACTGCAAAGCTAATCACTCCAAAACCCAAATCCAAACACAAAACCAGTTGAGATTGAGGTGTCTGCACTCTAATTCGATCCATGAATATGATGAGAATGTTCTTTGCGATGCGAAGAAACCTCCACAACATGAAGAAAAGCTCACGCGTGGCGGATGAGAACATTTTGACCAACGAGAACGGAGCAGAATTGCCTATTGTTGTAGATAGGAGAATGAGATCGCGAGGATGGAATAATTGGCTTTCGGTATTATACGGTATTGCACGGGTTCCGACCTCGCTGCTTTCGTGCCTGTCGCACCCGCGTATGAACGCAATCGATGGTGTGTGGGTGTCGAGTGAATTGGCGCAAACGCCCGAGGTGAATCATCTCTTGGTTAGAGACAGCATGAGATATGCCATCTTTATGTAAGAAATCTGTAACCGAATTTTGCACACATCAACTTTGTTTGAAAATCCCTGCTCATCTTCCCCATTCTGCATCGCACGATCCGCAGTTTAAGCAAATAAATGCACAAAAGGTATTTGTTGAAACGTCTCGTCTACATGTAGGTTAAGCAGAATTTAGGCATACGAATATGATTATTGGCAGTTTCCTTTTTGAATTGTTGATGGATTACTGTATTATGTATTTCATGGAAATTAAGGAGGTCGCATTCTTCTGCTTTGATTTGCAAATTAGTACAAATTTCTTGAATTAGTCCAAGAAAATGATCTAGAATTTTATTATCATTATCTTGAGAAAAAAAAAAAGGAGGTCTGAAAGACGGACATCACACCGGACTCAAAATTTATGAATTATAAGCATTTTCGTAAATGGTAAATCAACTTTTAAAATGTAAAATTTAGTCAGTAGGAAATTAGGGTTGATACCATTTGGGGAAAAATCTTATGAAATTGACGATCTTGGAGTGTATTGTGCAATTTTGAGGACTTCGTGCTTGATACGTATAATAGATGCCATGGATGATGGATGCAATAGTTGGTTGCTCCATAAGAAAGAGTTGAAGCGGGAGGATTGTGGCAAAGAAGATGCACATACCCTTTTTTTGTTTTGATATCCAGGTATCCTAACTTACACTAGACTATGTTCTGGACCACCCATCCCCGGCTCCTCAGTGATGGGTGGGGGTTAACCGCGGGATATGCCCACGTTGACCAGGGTCTGTGCACCCTTTATACTCCTGGCTCCAAGGGAGCCTTCCTCCATAGATATTACATCACCAAGCTGCTCCACCCAAATTGAGTATTATAACACTCAGCTGCTCCATCCAAGAATCGAACTCCCCACCCTGAGGTTGCAAGCCCAGCAATGCCCATCCTGAAGATGCACATACTCTTATATAGCCTCAACATGTTCAATGAGATGCTGGAAAGAGCCTTGCGTTTGTTCAAAATGCTATGTTTCAATTTGACTATTTAGCGCATGTTTGGTTCGGATTAAAATTTATCTAAGTTAAAATTAACAATTAATATTAATCACATATTTTGTGGGTTCCATAATTTTTCAATCAAACATTTCATCAACTTTTATCGAGATCTACAAAAAATCTGATTTTAATCTACTAATGTTAAGGGCTCGTTTGTGCCAGATTTTAATCTAAGTTAAAGTCAAACAATCAATATCAATTACATCTTTCATGGGTCTTACATCTTTTCAACCACACATTTCAAAAACTTCTATCACAATTCACTTAAAATCTGATTTTAAT